CACACCACCCCGGGCATACCTCGAGAGGTCAAGGATGCCCTGCGTGCCATGAACGGCGCATCCAGCGCCGTTTTAGGCACAGACGGCCATCGTCAGTTCTGCCGTCATGATGGATGTGCCTACATGGAAACCTTCGGTCCGCCTCTGATTTTCGTCACTCCAAACGTTGCCGACACTCAGCACCCCTTGCTTTTGATCGTGCAAGGAGAACAGATTGACCTTGGAGCGGTCAGTGCTGACACGGCATCGACTTTGCCAAAATACCGAGATATGCTTCGGCGTGTGGCCCAGGATCCAGTCGGGCAAGTCGTGCAATTTGAAATGTTGATGAGGTTATTTTTACAGCACGTGTTGAATGTGCGGCCAGAGACCCTGGATTGCCGCCGCAACTCCGTCAGGGCTGCGTGCCGGGAGTGGTGCAGATGGTGTGGCTGCGGCATCCAGTGGTTCTGGCATGGTTGGGCCGGTTCTTGCATTTCGTGGCGAAATCGAAGCTCAGGGTCGTGGGTCTTTGCATCCTCACATCTTGGTGTGGTTGGTTTGTGGTCACCTGGAGGTCTTGAGTCAATTGACGGAAATCTTGCGCACCAAGCAGCACGAACTTCGACAACGCTTGAAAGAGTTTATGCAATTGGCGGTGGCCAGTTTTGAATCCATTTCGCATGCTTCTGTGCAAGCGGCTCCACGTTGTGCTGGAAGTGATGTTTTGGATGCACCTGTCAAGATCACGGAGGTGGCGCGCGATCTCTTCAGGGGCGATGGTGGCTCGGATAAGGAACTGCTGGAACAATTGAAAGAGAAAACACCTGAACAAGAAGAGTATCTGCTGTGGATTTCTGAGGAAGACTGGCGGCGACCCAAGTTCCAAGTGGAGGCAACAACAACAGATAAGCAGAGCATATTCGCAACACCCATCAACCAGCTGTCGGTTGCGGCCACTCCGAAGTATCGCTTGCGGTCATTGCTGTGTGATCCGCATGTGCCGGAATTGGACGCGGATGCTTGGCGGACTGCATTTCAGCAAGACTTACATTCGTTGATGCCTTCGCTGCTTCGACATGTCTGTACAGAATCGTGTTACAAATATTCTGATTCGACTTCCAAGACCTTCAGAATTTGTCGACATGGCTTCTATCATGTGATTCACATATGCGACGGTTGTCGTGTGCGTCGCAAAGGGAAGTATCTGCGACCGACTTTGTACATTGCTGGTGAGGACGAAGCTGCTCATGGCATGGAAGGGCGATTGCGCCCAATACAACTGTCTCCCTTCGAATGTCAAACTTGCTATGGTGGAACTGTTTCGGGGAGACACAATTTAGATTTGCAAGACATGCGTCGGGTGGTCAGTCCGCATTTATGGTTGGACCCTGACGATCAGCTTCCACACGTTGGCTCGCTTGATTTTCTTGGATACATGGCCTCTTGGGAGTGGACTGGTTGTCAGTATGAAGCTCGACCTCAGCTTGCTGCGGAACCTCTCTCTTGGATTGGTAGGAAGAAGAGTTTGACGACATCTTTTCGGAGTGGCTGGCGTCATGCTTACAGATCCAAGCTTGCAGTGGCGGAGCCGACGCAGACGGAGGAGGCAGAGGAAGCTGGAGAGCAGGATGTGGAGCTGTCGCAAGCGATCAGTATCAGTGTCAATGAAGCCTTTTGTGATGGTATCAATACAGGCTTTTATGTGAACAACTATACAACAAAACCGGGCCCGGGCTTGAAAACACTGATGGATGAACTGCAGACGGGCATTCAACGGCTGGAAAATGAAAACAAAGAACGTGAAGAAAAGAGAAAAGCAGAGCGGGAGGCTGCAGAAGCCGCTGGGGAACACCTGCCGGGTCGTCGCAACAAAATTTTTGCGGACACGTTGCGGACCTTGATGCGATTGACGGCATCATATCGACGCTGTCATTGGAAGAGCGCGGCTGAAATCATTTTTCCACTCTTGTATCAACACTTGACTTTTGCTTCGCACAGGACTTGGAAACTTTATGTCAAGAAAGCTGTTTTTTTCGCAGTTGAAGCTTGGCGGCGTCAGTACGGCGATTCAGTCTTGCAGCACATTGAGGATCCAGGGGGGGAAGCTGAGCCTGTCGTATTCAGACGGCCTGGAGTGGATGATCTGGAGTTGAAGGGTTGGAAGAAAGTTTATCGCAAGGATCCGGCCACGGAGGTGGTTGATGAAATTTTTATCGGTCCGAATGGACAAGTCTGTCCAGACCTTTTGGCTGCCTTTGAAGAATACCAAGGACGTGAGAGGAAGAATGCCGGACAGGCGCTGAGTTATGTGCAGGAACTCCTCAAACTTCATGCTGTCACCGAGATCGTTGTTCCGACTGCCACGGACGCCAGCGTTGCTACGAATCTGCAGTCTCTCCAAGCAGATGGCCAAGAGGTAGCTGTGAAGACCACGAGCAACGTGGAAGCCAAACGTTTGGCTGTGACATCATCCAGTCTGGAAGACTATCTGTTTCGTGGCGATCATCCTTTGCTGGCAGGCTCTGCGGGGTCTATAAAATGCTTTTTTCTGGCTTATTATCCGTTTGTGTTTGCGATGTGAGTAATTTCTTATGTTGATATGGATATGCACTCTGTGGTTGGTTTCATATGTGTATCATGCTTGGGGTCTCGAATTTTGCTAGCACAGGCATGAGTTGGGCCACGTATGGCACCTGGGTCTATCGTGTGGAGTTGGCACGGGGTGCAGACAAGTCGGTGAAGTCGGCTATACCTCGGTTTGTGGATATCTATTTCGATGCCTCGTACAAGCTTTGTAACAGCCATGCGCAGCGGATCGCCAGTGAACCGCGTGTACCCATGTTTGAAGGCTTCACTATGCCGCCGCTGACACACGACAGCGAGCGGAACGCCATGTACAAGCAAGTGCAGTGCCGCCCAGTGGGAGTGCATCTGGTGAAAGAGGTCGATATTCAACACACTGAGGAAGAGTTGGTACTGAATGCGTTTAAGATATTTTCCACACCTGCAGTTGACACTGGCGATGTTCATCTGGATCGATCTCGACAGGCGCACACTGCTTTTACAAAATCCTTCTTGGAGTGGAAGTGTGGCATGGAGAAAGAAGCTCAACTGGCCAGGCATCGGTTTGCGGAAAGATATGAATACCCGAGCCTGTGGGAGACCCAAGAAATGATCACAGAACTGGAAAGCCGATATTCGAGGTATCTGGATGCTGAAACATTGCCACCTACAGAACAGGATTTTGATCTCGGGAAGCCGCGGTGCACTGTTTCTATGTACTCGTCGCTTCTGGCACAACAGCGGATTGCAAATCTTGAAGGACTTGCACGTGCCAGACAACACAAACCGAAACGTAGAAGAGACGAAGATGCTCATTTGCACGAGGAGTATGTGAAGATGCACACGCTTGGAGGAGCTGATGATGTTGGCGCGGATGGCGACAACGATGAAAATCTAGAGGCCTTGGTAGAAGAGACAAGTGTCGTGAAAAAGGAAATCTTCCCGCCGATTGGTTTGCGCCTCACTGCAGAGGAGCAGAAACAGTTGTTGCGCTTTGATCTGCAAGGTCGTAAGAATGACTATGTGAAAACATTTCTGCAGGAAACCTGGATGAGAGACGATGTGTTTGAGGCAGCTTCGCGTTGTCGGAACACTCAACAGCAGAAACACAAAGAACTTCTGGCTGACCTCTCTGGCTTGAATCAGGACGGAAACAGCATATCTGGGAGATGTTGAAGGGTGTATTGTTTGATATGTAGTCTCTGTGGCGTGAACTGTGGTTGCGATGGGGTTGTTTGAAAGTTGAAGGAACTTCTTAATGTTAAAATTATATTTGATTTGTTGTTATGGTTTGGTTTTTGAGTGTAGTTGATTTATTGCAGACGTAGAATTGGTCAGGATGTCCGGCAAGATCTCTATTGGAGTGTCAGAGAGACCAAACCAGGGGAAGAGGAAGAAGATATTGAAGCCCAGACAGATGAGCCGGACGAAGTGGTTCGTTTGCGTACTCTCCGCCTCTTACTGCCTTTGTTACCACGAGATTGTGCGCGTTTCACGGATCAGAAGGTCTATGCGACACCATCTGCCATGCTGTCGGACATGGTGGCAAATCTACCCATCACGGGCAGATTGAACGAGGATCAGATGCTCTTTGTGTTACGGTTTGGAGATATTTTAGACACTGTGTGGAAAGAAGAACAAGAGTTACCACCTGAACGGAGATCTGTGTATCACATGTTGTTGCTGGGACAGGGCGGATCAGGCAAAACTCATGTTGTGCAAAATTTTATTTTTCCGGTTGTGCATTTCATCTGGCCGCCAAGCAAAGAGGAGGAGTCTTTGATGGTCGTGGCGGCCAAAAACTCGCAAGCCAAAAACATTTCCACAGAAGGTGTGCGAGCCAAGACATTGCATAGAGCAGGTTGCATGCGGATTCAAAGTTTGAGGAATCAGGATCTGGCTCCAGGCAAGAAGGAAAAGGCTTTGGAGAAAACCTGGAAGAATGTTCGTGTCTTGATCATCGAAGAGATCAGCATGGTGTCGGCTGTGCTTTACAATATGCTTGATTTTCGTGCCATGTGCGGTCGCCGGCTGCCTTTCAAGGTGGACCGAGACACTTACATGAAAGTGGGTTGTGCTTTCGGGCGGGTGCCCATCGTCGTTCACCTGGGTGACTTTTTCCAACTGCGTCCGACTGGTCAGATATCATTGATTGAAGATCTGAATCGCCGAGATGAAGAGGGCCAGTATGTCCATAAAGAGGTCCCTGGCGTGGAGGTTCAGCACGCGCAAAAACTTTTCTCTGAAATCCCGGATGTTTATGAGCTACGCGGCACCATGCGCTTTAAGCCGCAAGATCCGCTCATCGAGATCTTGCAATGCATGCGGCTTGGCCACACACTGCCGGATAGGCTCTGGGCTCAGTTCCAGGAGCGTGTGGTACGAGACGAAGCTCCCGGCATTGCTGATGCTCGCTTGGAATCGGAGAACTTTCGGTCGGGGTACTGTATGTCGATCTACTGGGCATCCTTGATTCGCATGATGTATCGTCGCACCATCTTGCAGGCGAGCCGATGCAATCAGACACTGGTCTTTTTGCAAGCTGCTGATACTTGTATGGGCATGAATCATGAGACTGGCCTTCGATTTTTGAATCAGCCGAACCCGTACAACACTGGTTTGATTCATGGCATTTTGCCTTGCTTTGTTGGCATGGAAATTCGTTTGTTGGCGCGTGTGGATGCCGACCAAGGGCTGGTGCAAGATACTGTGGCAACCATTATGGATTTTGGGTTTCATGATGCCGATCGAGCAAGATATTTGAAGACTCCGGCAGGAGAAATGTTTACGCCCAGATATGTACCATCTGGATTGTTGGTGAGCATCAAAGGATATCAAGGATGTAGTGGGCGGGAAAGCTTTGTGCCGCTGTGCGCGAAGCATACGAATAGTCCGGAGCAGGCGGAGAAGTTGGCTCGTTCTTTCTATTGGTTTGAAGCAGAAGAAGTGGTTGTGAGCTACAGTGGGCTACAAATCCGCAGATGTGGTTTTCGCGCCACGAATGCACAGTGTTTGACCAGCACGGCTTCGCAAGGCTTGACGCTTCGATCTGGAACAGTTGTGGATTGTGGTCGTCAGAAAGAAAAAGATGATGATGAGTGGTGGTTGCATCTGTATGTGATGCTTTCCAGGGTGACCTGTTTATCGGACCTGCTGTTAGTGCGACCGCCACCCCGAGAGTTACTGGAAAAGGGGCCGCCGGTCGGCGTAGCCAAGAGCTTAGAGAAGTTTCAGCAGCGTGCGACGGAGTGTCGCGCCGGCGTTACTATGAGACATGGACGCCGTAGCGACGGAACTGCGTAGATTGATCAGACCTTGGGCATGCGATGGCAAGTCGACGTGGCGAGTTAACCGCAGCATGGTCTTACATGGACTCCGTGGTCACGGAAATGAGTAGATTGATTAGACCTGGGGCATGCGATGGCAAGTCGACGTGGCGAGTTAACTGCATCATGGTTTTACATGGACTCCGTGGTCACGGAAATGAGTAGATTGATTAGACCTTGGGCATGCGATGGCAAGTCGACGGGGCGAGTTAACTGCATCAAGGTCTTACATGGACGTGCTGGCAAGTCGACGTGACGAGCCAGCCGCATCGTGGTCTGACCTCTTGACCTCGCATGCTGACATCGGATTGGCGAATTATGATCGGGTAGGATTGGGCATTCCATGTCATGTGAAGATAAATAGTAAGGAGCAAGAATGAATGAAGGTAATTAACAGTATCTGTGATGCCTGTCCGATCAGAATTTGTCGCGGTAGGCGAGTCGACGTGATGAGTCTTGTAATCCAACCATCAACGTGCAAGGATGAAAAGGATCATGGAAAAAGGGAGTGTCCTGGTTTGAGATGATTCGTAGTGGAATGCATCACTTGAGCGTGGTTAGGCCGCTGGATAGTTGCCAGGTATTGGTCAGAAGATCTGGTGCGACGGCGGCTGTGTTTGCTGTGCTTCAATGAACGCACAGGCCAGTACTGTAATGCATCAACTCCAAGACATTCAACATACTCACCGACGATTGGAAGGTGTCGTGAACGCCTTGGTTTTTTGGTCAGGCCCTTGGGCTTGCCGAAGCTAACGCGCTGTCATTTGGTTCTTTGATTCATGGCAAATCAAGTCGGTACTGTGTTGAACCTTTTCAGATCAGAATATGATAGATTGTAACTATATTAGTGCAGAGAAAATAAAACCCAAGTGAGTTTGTGTGCACCTGTCTGCCAAGGCCTCATCCTTTTTTTTAGTCCACGGAAGCAGAAAACTCAGAATGCGCAACACTTCACAACTCAGCTTGTGATAGATTCCATTGCTTGTGTGTTCTTGCATTTGTTGGTCATCTTTCGACGCTACGCTTTGCTCCAAGGACCTTGTGGACTACACCTGTATGCTAGCCGGTCATGTTGCCAGCGGCCATGCGCAATTGGTTTGATTAGGTTAGTTGTCATTGCAGTGTTCAGATCCGGAGTGTAGGAATTGAAGGAAGTTGATGAACTCGGTTTCATTGTTGGATTCCGGCCAGGTTTTGGTCAGAAGATGTGAGTGTCGATCTTCGGGAGGACGATGGTAGTCAGTGTCACTCGCTGGGAGTCCTTGCATCTCTCTCTGGAAGTCAGGTTCAGTCTTTTTCACGTTGTTTGTTTTGATGTCGTAGCCTTCTAGCTCGAAGCATTCATTGGTCATTCTGTTTTCGAGCTTGTTCTGTGCTTTGTAGGATTTTTGGTCTTAAAAAACCGGGAACCGCGATACGACCACAAAAAGCCTGTTTGCGGTCATATCGTTTGCTCTGCGCTTTGTGAGAGTTTTGGTCGCCAAAAACGGGGACCGCGATACGACCACAAAAAGCCTGTTTGTGGTCATATCGTTTGTTGTGCTTTGTAGGATTTTTGATCTAAACATCGGGACAGCGATACGGCCGCTTATGCTTTGTAAGTTTTTTTTGATATAAAAACCAGAGCTGCGATACCACCACAAAAAGCCGCTTTGTGGTCATATCGTTTGTTGCGCTTTGTAGGATTTGTTATATAAAAGCCAGAGCCGCAATACGACCGCAAAAAGCCTGTTTGTGGTCATATCGTTTGTTCTGCGCTTTGTATATAGTTTTTGATCTAAAAAAATGGAAACCGCGATACGACCACAAAAAGCCTGTTTGTGGTCATATCGTTTGCTCTGTGCTTTGTGAGATTTTTGGTCGAAAAAAACCGGAACCGCGATACGACCACAAAAAGCCTGTTTGTGGTCATATCGTTGGTTGTGCTTTGGCTGATTTTGGGTGTAAAAAACAAGACCGCGATACGACCGCAAAAAGCCTGTTTGTGGTCATATCGTTGGTTGTGCTTTGGCTGATTTTGGGTGTAAAAAACAAGACTGCGATACGGCCACAAAATGCCTTTTTGTGGTCATATCGCTTGTTATGTACTTTGTCTGGTTTTTGATCTAAAAAAGCGGGAACCGCGATACGACCACAAAAAGCCTGTTTGTGGTCATAACGTTTGCTCTGTGCTTTGTGAGAGTTTTGGTCACAAAAAACGGGGACCGCGATACGACCGCAAAAAGCCTGTTTGTGGTCATATCGTTTGTTCTGCTTTGGATTATTTTTGATTTAAACAACGGGACCGCCATACGACCACAAAAAGCCTGTTTGTGGTCACCTCGTTTGTTATGTACTTTGTATGGTTTTTGATCTAAAAAAACGGGAACCGCGATACGACCACAAAAAGCCTGTTTGTGGTCATATCGTTTGCTCTGTGCTTTGTGAGAGTTTGGGTCACAAAAAACCGGGACCGCGATACGACCACAAAAAGCCAGTTTGTGGTCATATCGTTTGTTCTGCTTTGGATGGTTTTTGATTTAAAAAACAAGACCGCGATACGACCACAAAAAGCCCGTTTGTGGTCATATCGTTTGTTCTGTGCTTTGCAGGATTTTCGGTTTAAAAAAATTGGGACTGCGATACGACCGCAAAAAGCCTCTTTGTGGTCATATAAAAAGCAAGACCGCGATACAACCAAGATTCCTTTGTCAGACCTCGCATCTTTGCTGCGGTTCAAGGGCTGTGAGCTTGTGCGCCGGGACCGGCTTAGGACTTTTTGTATACTCGAATCGCTTCAGTACAGTCGAATGGGTCCGGCAAGGCGACGTGACGAGCTATAGACCGTCTGTGGCGATACGTTTCTGTGAGAAGCTTAAAAAATCGCCGCTGCTTCGCATTTCAATGCCACTGATTGACTTCGTTTGTGCAATTGACGCTTTTGACGATTTGTGACCTGTGACTTGCTGCATAGCCTGGTTGTGAAGCCTTGTCTAATTTTGGTGAATTCATTTCCGTGGTCTACAGCTCAGGTCCTGACTGGAGCTCACTCTACATCTCCGGGCGTGACAGAAAAAAAAAGTGCGTCTCACCTCTTCTTGCTTCGCACTACACACCGTGGTCGCGATACGACCACTTGATGACGTTTGTGGTCATATCGATGGTGCGGCTTTTTGAAGGTCTAGTGCGGATTTGTTTTGTTGTTTTCGGAGTGGCAGGCGCAGTATCCCTCTCCGTCTCCTTCTCCCTCTTGTCCCTCTCATCTCCGTCCATCACATCATGAGCCATCTTATCACACACACATACCTCATCAGCATATGCGTGTCATACACCTCCTTTCCTCCCGCTTTGTTCTTCCCTTTTCATCCCACTACCCCGTCTCACACCTCACGTTCATACACACTTGAAATTTGTAAAACTTATCGTGTGGGGTTATCCGGTCCTTTTATTCGGCAAAGTGCGGCATGATTTTGGGACCGCGCTCAACGAAGCTACCGCAATCATTGGGATACCGAGTCTGATCAACTCGGCGCAACTGCTGTTGTACCTTCACTTCCTCATGGGCCCCGACAATATGTCACTGCAGTCACGCTTGCTTTGGACCTTGTGATTGGATCTTGAGAATTTGAGTTCGGTGATCACTTGGGCCTTTGGACCTCGACACTTCAGGAGGTTAGACCCCTTAATTACATAGTTTATTTTGGCAATTTTTTCACCTAGGTTTCTGTGTGGAGCACATTACACAAGAGAACCGTAATGAAAAGGAGGCAGTAAGCGTGTGGCTTGGGACGTGAGTAGACGCATGCAGAACATTTGGCATTTTTCACGGAGTCAATTGAAACCTCTCAAAGCCAGTCTCCAGCAACTTGGCCAGGATTCGTTGCTTCATTACTTCTTGAGGCCCAGGCCTCAGCCTTCAAAGGTTCACTTCCTTTGCAGCTAATGGCGCCACCGTCAACTTCAGCATTTCGAAGGGTGATCGAGGAGCGAAGAGGGAACTTTCCAGCGTGGGTGCTGGCATGTCCTTGGAAGGTGAACTTTAGTCGTGCCCTGGTTCTCTCTGTTTTTTTTGGTAAATTCAACATTTCACATTTTTCAAGGGCCGGCACTTGGATTGCGCGCAGTGCCCGAATTTTGATGTTTGAGATGACTTAGGCCCCGCGCTTGGGCCTCCCTCCGGCTGCACAGCGATACCTGGCGTACGGATTCCCGAAACCAGGGCGGGCCACCAGAGGTTGGGATACAAAGTGAGCAACTTCAAAAACTTCGATGATGAAAAGCAGTGTACAAACTGCAAACTCACATGCTTTCCCAAAAGCCAAACGCAGGTCGCGAAAGGTTTGCCCCGCGACTGTAAACTGGGGTTATAGAAAGTGCTTTTCGAAGCTGCTATCAGACAAGTAGGATCAAGGATAGCACCAGCAGTAGGATCAAGGATAGCAGCAGCTGCAGCCCCACTCTAGTGTCGCAGCACTATTTCTGTGTGTGCACCAATTGATTGACAATATTGAAACCAAAGAATGCTCGAACAAAATCAATGGTATGCCGCATTACATCGCATATGTAATATACCTTCGGGGAATGGCGCTCTTCACATCTCATACCTGAATGCCAGGTATCGGTTTATTTGCGATGATGATGCTTGCAGCTGAGTTGGGAGAATTGGTGGTTTATGGGCTGTAGTGTAGTCGTTGTGGTTTCCAGCTTCAAGAGTGGCTCGACCTCTGCGAAACTTGTATGGTGAAGGTTCGGACTTCGCTTCTATTTTGTGTAAAGTTATTATTCCCGAGGCCTGGCAAGCTGCTGCAGAGGCAGAGGCTGTTATGTTGGAAGAAGAGTCCGTAGCTAGTTACTAGAGGCTTTGCTAAAACTTGCGAGCCAACCAGGTGCTTGTCCGCAAACAATGATTTGAAAGTTGGTCTCTTCCCACACCCGAGATCAACAGGATCAGACCCTGAGAAGCATTTAGTGACAATTTGCAGTTCATGCAAGCAGGTTCGTGATGCTCCATCGGCCGGTTCGTCTTGGGATGCCGGGCACCGGATGTGGTGCTGCGCCTCCTGCCAGGCGACCTCTTTCGTGCTTCAGGAGGAGCCTTGGTTTACTGGTCCTAGCGGCCTTGATGAGAAGCATGAGCCCAATGCAGCTCCAGGTGAGAAGGGTACTACACCATCTACCTGGCCTGCTCCTTGGTCCACGTCGCAGCCTGGTCGACTTCACCATGGACCTTTTGGAGGATTTCAGGCGCCCGAACCCGGACTCCATGGATTACCAGTTCATGGCAGCGCTCTTCACGGCATTCGGTTTGAGGCCCCCGGACAAGTGCCTACTCAGGCTGGACTTCATCCTGGACTCCATGGATTACCAGTTCATGGCGCCCAGACACATGGACTACATGGTGGACGACACGACTTACCAGTCAAGCGCAGCAACGCCCAGCCTTTCGAGGTGATCCTGCAGTCCACCAGGCGCCAGGACCTCAACCACCTGACATGGATCTTGCTGGATCCCATGGCCGTGAAGGAGCCGAGAGCGAGACATCAACCTATGACCCGACTGTCACACTGCCGAGCAGGCCACCGAGTGCAGCCGGACCGACATTCGCCCGGCATGCGCCACAGTTCACACAGCCTGTTCAACCTGAGGCCAAGGCGACGCCTGCCAATACGCCGACTTTGCCACCACCAGCTTCGAGAAGGAGAAGACGGCGAAAGGGAGGACAGCCTGACGGCGCACCACCTCCTGGCGCAAAACCCGCCTGATGAACCTCATGGTGATCCTGGACCACCATGTACCGACTCCGGCACCTTCAGATGACCATGCACGGACTTCCTCCTCATCTACCTGGAACAGCTTGAAGGGACCTATCATGGCCGGTGCCTCCCCAATGGCATTACAACAAGAACGACTTGGCCGCCTTCCGGAAGTGGAGGAGGCGCATAGAAATGTGGCAGCTCCATCATCAACTACGTTCCCAAGAAGGAGGCCGGCATCCTCCTCTTCAATTCCCTTCGGGGCGAGTTGGAGGAAGAGTTGGAAGACGCCCCGGCATCTACTATGCCGATGGCGTGAACTTCATCCTCACCACCATCCAGAAGGCAGTCGAAACTCGCTCAGTCCACTTGAAGCGACAGCTGCTGAACAGCTATGAGCACATCTACCGTGGCCCTCAAGAGAGCATGCGCTCCTTTGTGAACAGGTACCAACGTACCGAGAGGGCACTTGGCACAGTGAACATCCGCGTACAGGACATGTACGACGGAGAGGCACGGGGCGCAAGAATGCTCGAGCGCTCCAAACTGTCAGGTGAACATCAACGCCAAGTTCTGATCGGCGCCGGCCAATCACTCGACTTCGACTCCATCAAGGATGTGCTTCTCTTTCAGTGGCCGGAGCATAAAGCACTCCCACCAACACTTGGTCCACCGCGAGGAAAAGGAAGACCAGCTCACCACAATGACCTGCTAAGCAGACCTATGTCACTGAGTCACTGAGGTCAATGAGGCCGAGCAGAATGACGACAACCCGGACGACGACCTCGACCTGAACCAGAACGATGGCGATGAAGCCAACGATGACGGCCAGACGGCCGACGACCCTGATGACGAGACCGACCATCAGGACGAAGCAGAGCTTGAGCCGGATTGGGATGACCCTCAAATCTCCGAGATCCTTACCATCACGGCCAAGAAGCTTGCAGGTGTCATGCAAGCTAGGCGCTATGGCAACACCGGCTCGGCTCCAAAGCGCTCGATTACTGAGCGGAAAAGGCACACTCACTGCTCAGCATGTGGCCAGCAAGGCCATTGGGCCGGAGATCCTGAGTGTGGAGCAAGTGCCAAAGGCAAGAACTTCAAAGACTCGAAGGGCAGCGGCAAAGGGTGACAAGGGCGGCAAGGGTTCGTCCAAGGCAGTTCATTTTCTCAACCACTAAGGTGGCCATGATGATCGCGCGACCTCCATACATGGCCGTGTTTGGCCAGATCCCAAGGATAGCCGCAGGCCTTCTACAAGATGACAAGGCTTTGGTCTGCCACCCAGAACAACATGGAGCAGTGCGGCCCGACATCCTCAGAGCCGAAGCCATGAAAGCATTGGCTGACATCAACACATCACAAGCACTGCGCAGGGCGGTCCTGCGAAAGACAGCACCTGGGCCCCAGCGAGACCTTCAACCAGGTCATTGCAACCTTGCGCATACTGGCGCTGGCAAGTCCCCAAAGGACGAAGCGCCAAAAAGGAAGGGGCATGGATCATGGCACGATTCCTGTCCTACGACCCATGCAGACAACAAGAGCGCATGGCTGCACTCCGGCACCGCAACAGTTCACGTGGCGCTGGAGCAACTACGTGGCGCTGTTGGCTTTGAACACTGGCAGCCAACCAGAGAGGATCGACAGACCCTCAAGGACGCAGCAGCCAACATACGCCAAGACCTATGGCAAGAACGCTCCACGACAGCACCTCCAGCAGACGAGGACTCCTATGAGTATCCACTGGAAAGGCTGGCAGAACCACAAGCATCAGCAGAGCAGCACGACACCGCGGCAGCTCCAGAAGCTGAAGCAGAGCAGCTACAGCCCCTGGCATTACCTCTTGCGCCACCACCTCAAAAGAGGAAGGCGCAGCAGGAGCAAACGCGTCAGCAACAAACGACTGACGCACAGACGACGCCACGTGTTTCGGCAAGACCTGAGGCAGTACAACAACTTGCTGAACAGTACATCCAGCAAATTAGGACTACTACCATGAACGTGGAAGGCGACATCCACATTCACTCCTACCCAACATCGCCTACAGGACAAGCTGTCACACCTCTAGATTACCACCCAGGGCGCTATGGACTCACTCGCGCGGCAAGGTCGAGAACACCGACCAACAGACGAATTCGCAAGTCAGCAGAGCAACAAGCACTGGCACATGCATGGCCAACGCCAGTACCGGAAACACCTCAGCGCCGGCACCTTCACTTGCTGCAGGCGCACCTTCTGCAGCGAGTCCAGCAGTTTCACAACAACCGGCACCTTCCGGGAATGAGCAACCCGGGACAGCAGAACACGCAGGCCCAGCGTCGGGCGCCAGCACCGAACAGTTCTCAAGCTCTACATCGAGCAATGCAGAGCAACCTGCGACAGCAGTGGCATCAAACACACAGCCACAGGCAGCGCAAGACACTGTGACTACTGCAAGACAAGATCCTGAAGCAATACCTCATCTACCTCAAAAGCGAACACATGAAGCAATGCTTATGCTACAGCATGACAGCATCGAACCACCACACCACACATGGGATGGTTCACCACCGACAAGGTACTATGAAGACATGCGGTGCACACAGTTCGCAGCAGCGGCAGCATCACAGCTACAGGCAGAGGGACACGCCGTCCTCTTCACAGACCTGGCACAAGCACCACCAGAGTCTGATGACTCCTCAGGTCCAGATGATGACACGGACCCAGCCACCAGACTCCAAACAAGCAAAGAGGCTAAGGCCTTAGAAAGGGAAATCCCATGGCGAAGCATTCTCAAGCTACCGCCAAAAGACATCGAAGCCTACATCCAGTCCAACCAGAAGGAACGAGGCTGGATGAATTGGGGCTCCGTCCAAGCGGTGCCAGATGATGAAGCCGCAGCAATCCTCAGCAATCCAGCCAGACGCAAACGCGTCTTGAGAAGCAGGGCACGCTACAGAAACCAAAGCAAGATCCCAGATCAACCGCAGGCCAAAACCAGAGTCGTTGCCTTAGGGCACCTGGACCCAGATCTGCGCCGGATCTCCCGGGATTCTCCAACGCCCATGCGCGTTAGCGAATACATCCTCCTCAGCATCTACATAGCAGGAGCCAACAACCTCATGGAGAACGACCCCGTTCCCTGGCTCCTGTGGCCTGGAGATGTGAGCGCAGCCTTCACGCAGGGCAGCTTTGAGATTGAAGAGAGGCCAGAACCTCTCTACCTACTGCCACCCCGAGATGAGATCACCCTCAGAGCCGGCGCCTTCAAGGCCAAACTATACCTTGTGCTCAAGAACATTTACCGGCTAGCCAGCGCTCCACGAACGTGGTTCCAGAGGTAGTGAAAAGAATGCTCTCCATCGGCTTCAGCCAACACCACCTCGACAAGACGCTCTTTTACAAGAGGTTCGACGGCAGACTGGCAGTCGCCTGCATCGTCTACGTGGACGATTTCCCCTCCCCTATAGATCGGGTTAGACAATTTCCTGCCTAATAGTCAATTCCATAGTTAACTCTAACTTTTTAACTATTAGTTAAAAATGCTTTTTGTATAAAGAGATAATTTTTCAAATTGTATATTGACTATTCTACTCTAATTTTTCTCTAATTTTTGAGTTAACTATAAAATTGCCCCTGGAATTATAGTTGAAAATAAGGCAAAACTCATTCATTTCCTTCCCAAAAATCTCATATGGCATGGAAGACTTTTCTTTTGCGCACACTAGATGTCCATGATGTCCAAACAATCCTAGATGTCCAAACAATCCTAGCTGAGCATAATTCCTTTTCTCATGTGTCCACAAGCTTGGCAAATGCTACACACCAATGCTGCAAAGCTTTGCTGCCACATTGGTACATAGAGGTGCCTCTGGTGCAGTTCTGTGCAATAGCTCGAGTGATGCCCATGTAATCCTCATTGGCATAGCACCATGTCAGCTTGGGGTTGCAAGTGTGCACATATTCTGCACAATGCATCAGGTAGTGGGACTTGGCAGTGACCTGCAAGATTGGTCCTTTGATGCTGTCATCATCTGCAAAGTGCTGGTAGAGCTGGTAATTCAAGTGGCACATTTGCGGGGCAGCTTGAAGGAAAGCTTTGCTTTCTTCCACAGAGAAAAGGTCTTCTCTCTTCTTATCAGACATCATCTTCTCAATGAAACAATTTGATCTCAGCATATGGGCAATCTTTCAGTGCACTTCTAGTGCTTCATTGTGGTGCCTCAACCATACATGGTACAGAGGTTCAATCACACCTTTGACTTGTGAAAGATTTTGTCTAGGTTCAATCACACCTTCAATGGTTCAATCACACCAGGTGTGCTTACCAGT